TGGGAGTGTAGAATGAGATGTTTGGGGCATTTTGTTTGGGAGTGTAGAATGAGATGTTTGGGGCATTTTGTTTGGGAGTGTAGAATGAGATGTTTATGAAGTAGTAGATTATAGGAAGCATTAAAGGGGAATCAAAAGAATCTGCACACACTTGATCTTAGCCAAAAGGCCGAGAAGCGATGAAAAGAATCTGGATGTTAAAAGAAGAAAAAAGAGAAAGGGGCACCCCTATGCAGGGCTCTCTTCTGCTTCTGCAACAAGATGGTATATTTTAACACACTTAGTAGTGATACCTGTGGTGTAACCAGCCCCACAGACCTTGGTGTTGGTCTTTCAGGTCTTGTTGTTTGTCCTTTGATGGAAGCAGTAATGTCTCTAGTTGGTGGCAGCAGTAGCATCATACCTGTTGGTATCTCGCTATTGGGCTTCCAGACCACAGTAGGTATCCCAAGATGGAGGCTACACCAACTACAGATGGCAGAGAAGTCAATGAATGTAACCCAAGATGGAGGTGACCACTTTCAGAGATGGGGATGGAAGGGTGGGCTGTGTGATGGCATTGAGTGGCCTGTGCAGCAATGCAGTGCTGTGGCATGTGGTATTGCATCAGCAGCTACCTCTAGGCCCTGTACATTGTCCCTCGGTGGAGGCTACCATGTAGGAAGGACTATGGCTGCAGTGTCCCAAGATGGAGGTGTTCTGAGGGGAGCCACAGTTGGTAGCCGGGGATCTGAAGCATGGTCGGGTCCTCTCTCCACATGGATGCAGTCAGAGGCAGAGCAATTATGATTAAATAATTATTAATATGACTTGAGAACAGGAATCAGAGAAGTTCTGGGTATTCTCACTTTTTAGAACCATGAAAGTCATTTGCTATCTACTTTTCCTAGCATGTAAAAATGTCAACTTTTTTCATGTTTGTTTGCCATATAAAGTAATGTCATGTTTCTTTTTTATTTGTTAATAATTACATTTTATAATTATCTAACAGTTTTCAAAATGAATGTTTCCTCCTAAACATTATCTTATTTGAGCCTCATAGTTATTATCTGAAAAGAGAGATTCCAAATCTTTTATTACAATCAATTCTAAAGTATGTTATGGTGTAGGATAACTTTTTTATATCGTAGCTAAATGACACACTACAATATTATTTTTTATTTCATTTCCATGTTTCCTGAAGAGGGAAACTTAATTTGGGTTACTAAACTTTATTTTCACTTGTGCAAGATCCTCTCTATGCCTAAAAGGCACAATTGTTATATATGTTGCTCTTTGAGATTAACAATAAAATATTGACAGAAATTCTACTGTTTATGAAGGTCATTTTGGTTGAAAGGAACAGAATCTCACTCATAATTGCTTGAGGAAAAAATAGGACAGGATGTGAGAACTTATTTCAATGATCTATGATTACCTTAGAGAAGTCATGAGCAGAAGTCGATACTTAGAGAGACTTAAACATCAGGAACCCAGCAAGAAATTATTTCCATCTCTGTTTTTCTAGAGGCATATTATCTCTTGTTTCTACTTCCTATATATATGGCTATTTTATTATTTACTTTCTCTACACTGGGTTTTTCTACTCATCTGAGCATATAAGAGAAATGGATTTTCTATGATGCCTGAGGTTACATATCCTCTTTTCAAACAAACAGCAGGGGAAAAAAACTTTTCTGAATTTGAAGAAGGAATATTATTTCTCCAATTTGGAACATCAGGTTATGTAAAAAAAAAACAGAAGAGAAGATACCCCATAATGTGTCTGCCATGCCTGTTCTAATATTCAAATATTAATTCTTCAGTTTTACTTTGGAAGTTATATGACTGTCCATTAAACACAAGTGTAACTAATTCTAAATACCTTAATATGATTTGTTTAATGTTAAATATTACTTTGAATTCAAAAATGTATTACTTGTTTTGCAGCTGATGACAACAACTAATTCAGCAAGTGAACCTGTATCTTCCATTCAAGATGTGTCACTTCCAAATGAAAAAGTACATGACAGATTTGAATATTTTTCTTCAGAAAGACTCAACACTCCGATGTAAGCTTCATTAATAATCAGGTCTACCTAAATACAATCTTATCTTGGATTACACTGTAGAAAAAGGCTACTTTTATTTTATACTACATTTTAACATAAAACTAGATCCACAAATATTATATATTGATTAGATAATAACAAGGAAATGATATATTGCAAGAAAGTAGCCTAATCAGGCAATTACATTTAGGTACATTGGAAAACTGTAAGTGTGAGCAAAGATGCAAGTGAGTGTAAAATCAACCTTCAGTGTGTCTTCCAGTTAAAATACTGAAATAGTCATCCAATATTTTTTCACAAGAATCTTAATGTTGTCTCTTGCTTTCCACAATTAGAAAGTATAACTATACACTCTATAGTATTTTACAGGAAATCAATGTGTTTACTAATATTTCATGAATATTCAAAAAGGTATTCCTGTTTGTGTTTTCTTTAAGTAATGAAGAAACTATTATGCTGAGACATAATGAAGGACACAAATGTGAAACAGAAGTTTTTGATACAAAAAGTTCTGTAACTCCAGGTGGTTCTTTGATCTACAAAAGTCTCCAAGATCTAACAATAATTGAATGTGGCACCCCTCTTATGGACTCTGGTTCTGAAAGATGTGTGATTGATTCTGACTCTGACAGAGGCATAGGTTCTGACTATGACTTAGAACAACACTCAAAAGGCTCTGACTCAGTAATATGGGGAATAGATTCAGACTCAGAAACATGTCCCAGGGACTCAGCATCTAGAAATAACCTTTTAGAAGCAAAAAGATACCAGATGGCTTCAGGCTCGGAGGAAGACCTGATGGAATCAGAGCAACACCTGGTGAAAGTTGAACAGTGCCAGGTTGACTCTGACTCTCTAAAACACTGGATGGATTCAGGTTCAGAAAAATGCTTGGCAGACTCTGATTCTGAACAGTATCTGATGGACTCTGACAATGAAAGACTGGGGATAGACTCAGACTCAGAAAAATGTCCCATGGCCTCTGCATCTGAGAAACACAAGTTGAAGGCAGAAAAACACCAAATGGCCTCAGATTCTATAAAACGTCTGATGGAATCTGAAAAGAGTTTGATGGAGACTGAAAAGTTCTGGATGGTCTCTGATTCTAAGAGGTATGTGATGGACTCAGAAACAGAAAGAGGTAGAATGAACACAGACTCTAAATCCAGGGTACATCTGATGGGGGAAGAAAAACATAAGATTAGATCTAAGAGGTATATGATGGACTCTGACTCTGAACCATGTGGGACAGACTCAGACACAGAAAGATATGATCTAGCTTCTGCAACTGAGAAAAGTCTCATGGATCCGAAAATATTTCAGCTGAGCACTGATTCTGATGGGTTCTGGATAGATTCATGGTCTGAAAAACATACAGTGGACTTGAAATCTGAAAGTCTGGGGATGGCCAGTGATTCTGTAAAACACCTGAGGAAGGCCAAAACTTGCCAAAGTGTTTGTGACTTGGAAAGATTCTGGATGGGCAAGTCTAAATCTGAAAGAAAATTGACAGACTCTGCAAAAGAACAATCAGACTTTGATCATGGTAAATTCTGGGATAGCCCTAGAAAATATCAGCATAGGTCTGTAAAACTTCAGAATATCTCTGAAAGCTGTCAGGATGACTCTCAAAATCTTCAGTATGACTTGGATATTCATAATGAAGACTCTTATTATGAAAAACATCGTACCAGCCCTGAAAATGAAAGAAATCCAAGTAAATTTGAAAGTAAAAGATGCTTGATGGAGATGGAGAGGGAACAATTCAAAAATGTAAAACTTCAAGTAGATGAAGAAATTGAAAGCCATCTCATGGAGTCTGATAATGAAAAAAAGCAGAGAACTACAGTTGACAGTGAAAGACATCACCTTGACTCAGAAAATGAAGCACAACGGCTTGGTGCTCGCAGAAAGGAAAATCGTCCTCAAGGTAAGTGTAAATGTATATTGCCTTTGAAAACAGCTTGTTTTATAAGTTTAATGACATTATGGCACTTCAAATATTGACAGATTTGGATCTGTGACCATTTTATCAGCAATTCTGAAGAAAGGCATCTTATACCCAATTTTCATTTCACTTTAAAAAATTGGGCAAATCTCACTTTAGTTTAATTTTTTTATCTCCTTAACATAAAAGGAGGAAAATTAAAGAATACTTAGCAAACATGGTTATGTTGGCCTAAGAAATGCCTTTTGAATTTACCTCCTATCATTATATATGTACAAATAACTAATAATTTTTCTTATTATTAGTTTTTGTGGAATGTGGTAAATATTCAAGCCTAAAAACATTCAAATTATTTTGCTTCTCGCAAAATATCACTATCTAACCTCTATTATTTCCAATGAAAAGTTAGCATTTATATTATCAATCATGTTTACCATACCAAATTATTATGATTCTTGATTTCCTAAGCCATTTTATCAAGGTATGCTTATAGATAGTGTTTTTGTTTATATTATACATTTTCCAAGGAGGCTTTTAGCTCTAAGTACCAAAATTACCTAAGAACTTGACCCTAAATATTTCAAGAAAGCTTTCCTATGATATTAGAATAATTTTTAAAATAAACTGTAACTCCTTTCAAAAACAGTGTTTAAAATAAAATACATTAATGTATAATCATAATTTCCTATTTGAATATACTATTTCCCTATGTTCAAGTTAGCTTTTTCATTGCTATGAACAAAAGACCTGACAAGAAGAATTAAAGGAGTAATAGTTTATTTGAGGGCTCACAGGATTAGAGGTCATAGTCCATAGATGGCCGACTCCATTCCTTAGGGCCTGAGATGCAGCAGAACATCATGGCAGAAGAGTGTGGTGGAGAGAAGTAGCTCAAGACATCACATCAGGAAGTACAAAGAGACAGAGTCCTCACTCACCATGTATAAAATAAGTACCCCAAAAGCACACCCCTAGTGACCCACCTCCTCCAGTCACACCTTACCTAGCTACAGTTACCATCCAGTTAATCCCTATCAGAGGATTAATTCACTGATTGGATTAAAAATCTCATTAATCATTTCACCTCTAAATTTTCTTGCATTGTTTCACACATGAACTTTCAAGTGATACCTCATATCTAAACCATAACATCACGTAATAAGCCTTTAAATTTGTCCCAAATAACATTGACATTTCTCAGATGTCATTTGCTTTAAGTGTGGCAGACTACTATGTCCAATAAAAAGCAGGTATGCTCTGAATTTTGGAGCATTTAGCAAAACAAAGTTTTACCAGAGGTTGCACTGATTGTCAGGTATCTTTATCACAAGTCATTAATTTAGCTAGAATAACTATGATATTTTTATTTTAACAGCAAAGGAAAATATTTACCTAACTTTTATAGTCCCTGAGGGGGTAAAAACAAACAAACAAAAAAAATTATCTGCCCTATAGTTAGAAATGCAATCCTATTGGACAGAAAAAACAGGGAGAAATTGTTTTCTGAGATTTTTCTTTTCAAGTAGTTTATAGGAAAGGTAGTCGTTAAAAAAAATACTGTTTAATTTTACAAAGAAAGGAAAAAAATCTTTAAAAATGTTTTCATTGGATTTGAATTTAGTAACACTATGTTAATTCTCCACTAATCTAATATCATTCTGTTCTAATAAGGTAATATTAGCAACCCCTTAAGAGTTACATTTAATCAGCACAGAGGCTATAAAGATTTAAATTTCCTCTTGCTTCAGTTTTTAATATTTTCAAACACCATCTGATAAATATTCAATGAAATGGAATAACTGTTGCTCAGGGGTGGAAAGACTCATGAGATTCAACTGCATTGTTATTGATATGGGTTGCAAAATTTTGTTGATTGCCTACTGTGTGCTTAGTATATATTATAATAAATATGTGAAAATAGAACCTTAAGTAACACATTTCAAACTTGTAAAGTCCATTATTTAAAAACAATAATAGCAGCTGAAATTGAGTGATTGAACTATGATAAGTATTATATTACACAAATCACATGTATTGCATCTAATTCTCACTGACTATTGTTAAACCCCTTTACATATCATAGATAAACTTTATATAGCACTGCCATAAATTTTTCTAAACCCTTTGCATATGCTAATTCATTAATAGTGATTCAGTAGTACAAATTTATTAATATTAATTCACTATTTTTCCATGTACAAATATATTAAAACCTCAGAACTCTGGGAAATACCTCCTATTATCTTTTTTTTCTTTTTGCCAAACAAGAAACTGAAGAACAAGAAAATATGTAATTAACCAAGGTAACATGATAAGTAAAAGAGGTTGTGAAATGATGCTCCAATATCTCTAATGTTAACCATGAAGATGTACTATCTTTCAATTATATAAAATATATATTATACACTTATAATAATTTTAATGCTATATATATTGCAATTAGATATGAGTTATCTAATGTGTAGATTACTTTTTAAATATTTTTTTAGTTGTTGATCTTTATTTTTTTTATTTATTTATACATAGTGCTGAGAATTGAACCCAGTGTCTCACACACACAAGGCAAGTGCACTACCACTGAGTCACAGCCCAAGCTACTAGATTATTATTAATATAAAGCATGCATTTCCATATGGGCTAATTTATAGGTGAAAATACTTTCAATTATGAAACCAAACGTTTTCTAGGAGCTTTCATTCATCTTTAGCTATTATATATTGAAAATATAAACTCACAGTCTAAATGTGATTTTTTTAAATCCTAAAATTAAAATGAAAGGATATAGATGTAAAAACTATGTTCTTTCACTTGTATGTCTTCTTTGACATACAAGTGAAAGAACATATTTATATATGTACCACAATATTATATACACCACAAATATATATAATATTGTGTTGAGTGAAATACCACTGTGTATATATACTACATTTTCTGTATCTATTCATCTGTTGGTGGGCACCTGGGTTGATTCCATGACATGGCTATTGTAAATTGCACTGCTATAAACATTTATGTGCCCATATCACTGTAGTAAACTGATTTTAGTACTTTCAGATATATTAAGGCATTTGCTTAATTTTTGTTGTATCTTAACTGATAATTGTCTTTTCATTAATAAATTTAAAAATATAACAAAGACAAAGATAAAAACCACTATGATACTCATCTCCTCTTCAGTATCATTGCTTTCACCACACCTCTCCTTTATCTATGCCAATAGTAATGAGTTATGAGGAAAACAGCCTTGGTGTATCTTCAAGACCCAGAATTAAGTCACTTTGCTGTGACTAGAGACGATAAATTTGTTAGCCAAATTTATACCACAGCTTTTAAACCAAGAAATTTCTACAAATATTTTAGAGTTAAATGAATATCTGCTTTATTTTATATGGAGAAAATATATTATAATATATGATATAATGTTTCAAAGCTGGGCTTTGGTATTACTTTAATAAACTCCATGAAAAGTGAGACTAGGATCATTAGTATTATATATTTGAAGAAAAGTAGTATAATTAGAAACAATTTTTCACTACAGAATTATAAAATCCTCCCTTTTACATTGTTTTTTATTAGGCACTAGAAAATAATATGGTCTATTTTATGTTTTCTAGGTTTTTGGAGACCTGTTTTCCTCCCACCTCCAGTTGTCCAGGGAAAGGAAACTAAAGAACAACACTCTGTGCAACAACAAATTGATAGCAAAGGTGAGTATATTCAATTGAAATTCCTTAAGAATGTAATAATATTATTTCTCAATATTTGAAATAAATTAAAGTCAGAACGTGTTGTTTAAGTGGTCCTTAAGATAATATCCAGGTACAGTTATTCTATAGGATTCATTGGACTCAATATGCATCAGCACTAAAGGATACAATTTACTACAAAGTAAAATTAACAAAGGGAAAGGTACATGGTGCAAAATTTAGCAGAGAGTAAGTAAAAGGATCCAAGGGTCTTATCTTAATTCTATCAGTTTCCCATAATTCATATAGCTGTTGCTATGTCTTATTTGATGATAATTGTTCTCTTGAGACATTTGCTTATTTCTTGTATCATAGCTGATACTTCCTTTTTCATTAATAAATAGACATGTACAACAAAGAAAAAGAGAAATAAGTTCACTTTGTGCTACTCCTCTCACATATATTCCTCAAAATTTAGTGTATTGTTATTTTTTATTGATGCATTAATATCATACATAATAGTGAGAATCATTATGCCATATTTGTACATGCTCATAAGTTTTATCAATGTCATTCCCCTGTACCTTTCTTTTCCTTACCCTCCTGCCTCCCCCAATGACCTTGCTCTCTTTTAACAACCCATACCATTTTTATTTTATGTTAATTAGTGCATTCTAATAATATATAAATGACATATTCATTGTGGTATATATATACATTGACATAGCATATTTGAGTAGATTTTGTTCCTAATGTCCTCCCCTTCTCTCTCTCTCAGAACCCCTTCTTCTACTCTATAGATCTCCCTTTTTAATTAGATCCCTTTTTTATTCCTCTTTTTCTCTCTAGCTTCCACATGTAAGGGAAAACATCTGACCCCTGATTTTCTGAGTCTATCATATTTTCTAGTTTTATTTACAAGCAAATGACATAATTTCATTCTTCTTTACGGTTGAGTGAAATACCACTGTGTATATATACTGCATTTTCTGTATCTATTCATCTGTTGGTGGGCACCTGGGTTGATTCCATGACATGGCTATTGTAAACTGCACTGCTATAAACATTTATGTGCCCATATCACTGTAGTAAGCTGATTTTAGTACTTTCAGATAAAAAACAAGGAGTAGGATAGTTGAGTCATATAATGGTTTCATTCCTGGTTTTGAGGAATCTTCATACTGTTTTTCAACGGGGTTTTGCTAATTTGCAGTCCCACTAACACTGTGTATCCTAACTTTTCCCCCACATCCTTGACAACGGATATTTTATATGTATTCTTGATGATTGCCATTCCGAGTGGAAGTAAAATGAAATCTCAAAGTAGTTTTGATATGCATTTTTTGTGATTACTAAGGACGTTGAATTTTTTTTTTCACATAATTGTTAGCAATTTGTATTTCACCTTTTGAAAAATTAGTTCATTTACCTATATATTTATTTAGTTATTTATTTTTCCAATGTTAAATGTTTCCTTTTTTTTAGTTTTTATATACATATTAATCCTCTATTGGGAGAGCAGTTGGCAAAAATCTCTTACTCTATAGTCTCTCTCTTCACACTCTTGTTTCCTTTGCTGTGCAGAAGCTTTTTTATGATTATTTTTATTAATTTTTAATGTATTCTAAATAGTTATACATAACAGTATAATGTATTTTGACACATTGTACATAAATGGAGCACAGCTTCTCCTTCCTCCGGGGGAAGTAAGTGTATGTGGGGATGGGAAAGACAGTGGAATGAGATGGACATTATTACCCTATATTACATGTGCAGAAGCTTTTTATTTTGATACCATCCCACTTATTGATTCTTGGTTTTATTTCTTGAGCTTTAGAGTCTTAATGAAGTAGATATCTGCACCAACATGTTGGAGTGTTGAGTGTATGGTTTCTTCTAGTAGTTTCAGTGTTTCTGGTCATTTCCTATATATTTGATCCACTTTGAATTGATTTTTGTAAAGGGCTCACCCTTCATAGGGATCTACTTTCATTCTTTACTGTGAATATCCAGTTTTCTCAGAACTATTTATTAAAAAGATTATCTTTTCTCCAACATGTATTTTTAAACCTTTCTCAAGGATCAGATGACTATAGCTGTGAGGAATATTCTCTGTATGTTGTATTCCATTGCCTGTTTTTATGCCAATATATTGCTGGGTTTTTTTTATAGCTTTGAAGGATAATTTGAGATCAGGTATTGTGATGCCACCAGCATTGCTCTTATTGCTAATACATTTTTAAAGTAAGCTTTAACCATGTCTCTTCCTTCTCTATGCTAACACTAAAGAGATAGGAGGAACATAGCCTTACTGTATCTCCAAAGTCCAGAACATGTATGGAATGTTCTATCAGGGAAGCTCATTAGATTATTTTTTAAACAACACGTGAGATTTAAGTTACTCAATAAGATATAAAATTCAATGATTTTAAGTATTTTCACAAATATGGCCAACCATTACCACAGTTAAATTTGGAACATTTTTGTCATTACAAAAGGTAATTCTTTTCCTAGTTATTATATACCTTTACTTTCCCACTTACCCTAACCCTAAGAAACCATTAATCTACTCTTCATTTCTATAGCTTTCTAAATTCAGTATATTTCATATGAATGGAATCATATAATGCATGGTACGTTGTGACAATATCAATTTGACTGCTAATGTTTTAAAAATTGCTCTACAATGTAGGATGTATCAGTTCTTAATTCTTTATATGACTGAATGATATTCCACAATATGGATATATCACATTTTGTGTATATATCTGTCAGCTGACAAATAATTCCACCTTTTGACCACTATAAACATTTGCATGCAAGTTTTTATGCAGGCTATATATTTTCATTTCTATCAGGTATATATCTTAGAGTAGAATTACTTGAGTAAGTACATTGTTAATAACTTAAATAACTGCCAGACTGCTTCCCAGAGTGACTATACACTTATATTCCAGCAGTAGTCACCCTTTTGAATATGAAAAGGTCTGTCTTTGTGATTTTGATTTACATTTCCTTGATGTCTACTTATCTTTTAATGTAATTATTGGTCATTTTATGTCTTTCTTGGGTGAATGTCTATTTGAATAATTTAACAATTTTTAATTGTGTTGTATTTTATCATCAAAATGTAAGAGCTCTTTATTACATGTGTATTATCAGATATAGTATGAAATATTTCTCCTAGTCTATGGATTGTACACTTACTTATTTGATGGTTTATGAAGCAGAAAAGCTTTTAATTTTTATGAAATCTATATTTGCATACTTTTTCTTTTGTTGCTCATGATTTGATTGTCATACGTAAGAGCATTTTTCTTAAAGGTTTTTACAACTATGATATTTCCTAAGAACTTTGTAGTTATAGATCTTATATTTAAGTGTTTGATACATTTTGAGTTAATTTTTGCATATGATATCATATATGAGAACAGTTTATTCTTTTTCATGGTTCTGTCCATTGCTCCAATACCATTTGTTGAAAAGATTATTCTTTGCCCCATGGAATACTCTTGACAGCCTTGTAAAAAGTCAGATACCTATTGACCCATGAATTTATTTCTGAGTCTAAATTCTATTCTATTGCCTTAAATACCTATTATGGTGTCAGCACCATACTTTCTTGATTTATGCTGCCTTGAGTAAGTTTTGAAAGTGACAGCATAAATACACCCACTTTGTTATTCTTTTTCAAGAATGTTTTGGTTTTTACACGCTTTTTGCAATTCCATATGAATTTTAGAATGAGTTTTTCACTTTAAACCAAAACTTCCACTGAGATTTTGATAGAGACTACATTGAATATGTAGATCAATTTGTGTAATATCACCATCTTAGTAATATTAAAACTTCCAATACCTGGAATGTAGTTCCATGGGTATTTTTAAAATTTTTATTCAAAATGCTTTGTGTTTTCAGAGTATGATGTTGAACTTCTCTTATTGAATGTTCTCAAATTATTTTTGATGGTGTTGTAAATGGAATTGTTTTCTCAATTTAATTTTTGACTTTTCATTGCAAGTATATAGAAATACAGTAGACTTTTAAATATTGATCTTGTATTTTGAAACTTGATGTACTCCTTTATTATTATCATGGATTTTAGTAGTTTCCTAAGAATTTTCTATATAAAAAATCATACCATCCATTAATATTCTTTTTTCCAATCTGAATACCTTTTATTAATTTTCTTTCCTTGATTTCTCTGAGCAGAAGCTCCAATAGAATATCTAATATTAATATGTAGTATATAATTTTACATATTTTGAAGAGAATAGTTAGAAAATAAATCCTTATCTTAGAGGTAAAATATCCAGTCTTTCACCATTGCTTACCATATGATCTATAACTGGTGAATTTTGTGCCTCAACTTGAGAATAATGTATATTCCTTTGTTGTTAAGTAGAATGTTTTATATCAACATCTATTAGTTCTAGTTGATTTATGGTATAGTTCATGTTTTCTTTTATCTTGTTATTCTTTAGACTCTCAATTATTGAATATGAGATATTGATATATTCAACTATTTTTTTACTATTTTTCTATTGGTTTCTGTCAGGTTTTGTTTCATATATTTTAATGTTCTGTTATAAAATGTATATACATTAATAATTGTATCATTCCCTGATTAGTTGACAGTTTTATCATCATAAAATGTCCTTTTTATCTCTAGTAACTGTGTTTGTTTTAAAGTTATTTTTGTGTGATATTAGTATAGCCAGTCCAGTTTTCTGAGACTCCTATTTTCATGATTTATATTTTTCATCCTTTTACTTTCATTTTTTTGTATCTTGGAATCCAAAGTATGATTGTTCCCATAGCATATAGTTGAATCTCCTTTGGTATACAGTTTTACAATCTCTGTGTTTTCATTGGATTTTCCATGTTTAATGTTATCATTTTATAGTCAAATTTGTATTTGCCATTTTACTTTCCTTTTTCTGTGTGTTCTATGTCTTTTTATTCCCTTATTCTTTCTTTGATATTTCCTTTGCATTAAGTAAATATTTTCTAATGAAACA